TATATATAATTGCAAATATAACAAAAATTGAATTGTGACAGGTTAAAGAGAATTATAGAATGCAGTAAATAAATAATCATTTATTAGTATTATTACATTTTATAAAATAATATTATGTCTTCGAAAACAAAACAATGTATATTATAAATAAAAAAAGCTTTGGAAACATGAATGCTGTGGTTGTTAGAGAATAAGAAACTATGTCTTACTTTGCAATAGTTTTAAACATTTGTTCCGCTTGATTAATTGAAAAAAGAAGTTATCAAAAAGCTGTTTATTTTAACACAGAATAGGAAGCTACTGTAATAGAACATCTTTCGATATCATAAATTCTTAAATTTCAAGGTCAACCGCCTGTTTTCAAATAAAAGTTTATAACGAAATCATAGAAATTTGCATTACTATTAATATATGTATTTCATTTAAAAAAGAATCATTAAAAAATTATTATTTTTAACCGTGCACAGCTAGGTATACCTGTTTCGACTTTTCAATTTGTTTTGACTCAAATGTCTTGTTTCAATGAATCAACAATACGTTAATTATATGAACTTTCTAAAAATAGTTTGCAACTTCTTAAACACTGGATTTTCGCCAGTATTACAACATAAATCTTAAAGCATAGAGAATGACACACAGTCGATATCTATCCAATAACGGTACTACAACTAAAATTCAGCTAAATGATATATCCTAATTACTATTCATCGAACGTTATTACTGTAATATTTATTTCGAAAACCCGGAAATATTTTAGTTCGTTGCGCACTGAAAAAAGGAAAGAAATTTTTTAAATGCGTCATATATATATATATTGCGGTATATAAGCTTGAACAAAAGTATGTCGCACATTCTTTGACAGATGTTATTTTCACACATTTTTACCTGGAACCTAATGATCGGTGGAAATGCCTCCTCTGTCGTCATTCCCAAATAATAAACTGTGTATTTCGTTTGACAGACTCTACGTATACGTATATTTCCTACGCTCCATACTGAAAACGTAGGTCAAAGAGTATTTATAGCATTCTGTTTTATTCTCATGAACGCCTTTGTGGTGCATCTGCTTCGATGATTTGCATATACATATTTTATTTAAACCAATGAAACACGTTCAGCATTATTTAATCCTCTAGTTAGCTTAATATAATTGTTCTTTAACAATTAGAGTGGGAAGAATTAAATTAAGAGCTCGTTTCTTTTCTAGCTACTATATTGAAAAATTAGAAATTTATTAGATCTCGTTGGTTGAAATTCCTCTAAGTTCCTTGTTTTCTAAAGTTATAGCTAATGAAATGAATTAAGCAAAAGGAATACTTTCCTGGTTCCTAAATTTTATTTCGAATTATTTTCTTTCCTTTCTTTTTCGTAACATCGCTATAATAAGTACAACATATATCACTATAATAATAAGTACTGTGTAAATATATATTACATTTATGAAATTTATAACACGAATATCTCAGAAAATTAAGTAGAATTATAGTTTAATATTACTTTATTGTTACTATTATTATTTAAAATATAAAAAATTAAATGAAGTTTAATAAAATTGTACAAAGAGGTCAAAATAATAAATATGAAGTAGTAATTTAAAGTAACAAAATAATCATAAAGTAACGTAAATACAATTATATTTAATTATATAGATACTTATATAAATATCTCTGCAAACGTAAAATCGTTTTTTAATAATGATTTATATAGAGATTATTAATTTTATCAAATATAATAATAAAAAAATCAAAAAAATTTTTTTAAATGTTTTTGATAAAACATTATATTTTATTAATCTTATGCATTTATTTTTTTCTTTTCTTCTTATTCTTGCATTAAAATTTTAATACATTCATTCATTTTTTATTTTTACTGTAATTACATTTTCTCTATTTATATTTTAACACATGCATTCTATTTTACATCAATTTTATTTAATTCCTTGTATTTGTGATAAATTCAGAAATTTACTCTTTACCACAAACGAGTCCTATACCTCGTTTATCAGTTCGTCATATATGAACTTTTCCTTTCTCTTGCTATTCTGTTAATTTTATTTGATATTATTTTACAAACTACTTCTACCTTTTACACATCTATAGTTTTTGATATTTACACATGCTTTGACAACATTCTTCTTGTTTCCATTTTATCTATTTTTCAGTTATGTTTTAATTACCTTATTTGCTTAGTTACCGTATTCAATTAACATATATATTGATTATGAACATGCATTACTCGTGGACCACAGCAGTATTCAAGCAATTCATTGTATTATTCCGCGCTAATATTCTCTTAAACCACTTTTAGCGTTAATAATTTTTTATAAACGACATTACACGTTATAATCTAATATTTTCGTGTAAATATTGTTAACGAAATTTTATTATTCGATCCTTTCTTTTTTTTAACATCTGTTTCGATATTATACGAAATTTTGCGTTTTTGAATTTCAATCCATTAATTTTGAATTCAATCGATATTGGATACATAGTTTATTATATAATATTCGCTTCTTCACGTTATTTCGTTAGAAACTAATTTTTACTAATCTCAATTTATAGGCATTATGTTTAAAATTACGTTTGAAAATATTTAAATATTTATACTCAGAACACTTCGATATTATTTATCATGTAACTTCATACCATTAAAAAAATATTTCGATATTTCACTGAATAATTTCTATGTGTTTAAATTTATGTTTTTCTCTATCCATAATCATAAAAATATTGCATTGAACTTAATTTCAAAAACTTACTTTTTATATATGTTTTCGAAATCACGAATAGTCTATGTATGTATTATATCTATTGTAAATATCATTGGACCATATACTAATTTTACCTATTTACTCTTGAAATTTATTCCATTTATCTTCTACCGCTTATTACTTAAAAATTTTAATGTAACTTACATACATTTCATTTGTTAAATATTTCAAATGTCAATGTTTAAATTGCTTTAGTAAGTCGTATATTTTTTATTTTTTCTATATTAATACATATATTTTAATAATTGTTACCTTTGAAACCATCTTAATAACTTATACTTTTCAAATTGATATTAGTTATAACTCACAAGCATAAACTAATTTTTATTAATTGTATTTTCATTTTTTCTTAGTACTTTAATGAATTTTATTTCTTTACAGATAGTATAACAATAAGTAAATTATTAAACAATAATTTCTATGATTATACTAAATATTGAAATATTAATTTAGACTTTATTAACAATAAAATCTTAGTTTAAACATAAATGCATATGTATATATCTAATGTAATAATATAAACAAACATATAATCAAACTTAAAACAATATGATTTTATTATAAAAAGTTTTGTGAAAATTTTTTCATTTTCTTAATGAAGTTAATGTATTAATAATATTTTTGATGTTATATAAAAATAACAACCTTTCCTTTTGGAATCGTTAACCTTCACAGTAATACTTCAATTACATTTTATTTCTTTACAATGATAAAATTCAACTCATAAAATACAAATTAGAATAAATCATTTAGATGATATTAGTAACTAAATATATTGTATTTCATATTATGTTTATAATTATATTTTTTCATATCTAATTCCACCAAAAACTAATTGAAAAACTTGGGGTCAAGGAAGTTACATGATGCCACCATTTTGGAGGGATATAAAGTATGTCACCAGGTTTCAAATAACACATCAAACCTTTAGTTTTACTAAAGTTAGGCCATTTTTCATAATTTGGATTCAAAGGATCAACTTGTGCAGTGTTATTAAGTAATCTTGTATCATATGGATATAAATTAGATGAATCATTTGGGTGATATAAAAAAACTCTTTTATAACCAAACACCTAAAATATAACAAAAAACAATTATATAATATAAATTAATATGTTTTAACTTAATGTATCAATATCAAATTAGCTGTAAATTATGAAAATTAGTATTAAATTATAAAAATTTATATTAAATTGTAATACTCATATTCCTTTGAAATAGATAATTAACAGCAATTTTTTGTCATTATCATCATATTCATACTCATCATATTTTTCATCATAAGTATTTTTACTTATATATTATTAAATAACAAAAAATTATTTTCATACTTGACATAAAAGATTATTTTTGGGATCAAAATGCAGAGGTGAAATAGTTCCACTAGGTCCAAACCAGGCATTTATGTCTGGTTGCTCCACATCATCATTGTCTGTAAAATTACAATATTCTGGAATTGTAAAATCATCTTTCAATTCTGGTATCTGAAATTATTATTATACATTTAATATTTAAACTTTCATTTTAAATAATCAGCATTTAAAGAGGTATTGTAATCTGCATTTTAAAAAATCGATTCTTTTTACATTTTCTGAAAATGTATGATTTCGAAAATGTCTGTGTAAAAAGATTTGTTTGAATTCGTAAAATTGGCAAAGTTATAGACAAAAACTTCAAACGTGTTTTTCTTGAAACCATATTTTTTAATTGGCTGACGGGATATCTCACGTTTTAGTTGACTAATTGACTTTAAATTTGGAGATCTTCACCGGATGTACCTTTATCGCATGAACCACGGATTTCAAAATCCGATGTTCTTTTCTATTTTTATTTACCAACCAAAGGGCGTAAAGCACAAGGAAAATCGATATTTAAACTTCAAAATGCTGCCATTTTTTTAATTTCCGAAATTTCCCTGTTTTGGTGGTTTATGCTATAGCTGTACTTATACTAATTAAGATGCTTTTTGGTTTTTTCGTTTCCAATAATCAGATAGTTTGGAATCATGTCAGCCATTCGAGCCCGTTTTTAAAAAATGATTTACCTAAGACTATATAATTTACACAATTTTCATTAATTCTGTTAAAAAATATTATAAATATTCTCTAAGCATAAATAAATTTGAATGTGAAAACAGCATATTAAAATGTATCATGGTTTCCTTAGAAAAAAATCTCCAAAAAGTCGATTTTTATTAACCAAATTAAAATACCTACTTAACATGCTACATTGAAAAATAAAAAACAAAACCTGATCGAATAATTGATGTTGAGCTAAGTAACCAACTTGATCTCCCTTTGTTAATACATATTTTTGTAGAAATTCTGAAAAACTCAGAAGTTGCTGTGACCAATTCTCATCAGTATAACGTGAACCAATTTCAATAGGTACTATTCGGTGACCGGCTACATTAATTAAATACTTCAAATCTTTCCACTGCTTCAAAGCTTTCCAATGTTTGATGCAATCTAGAATATTTAAAGTTAAATTAAAATAAAAATTCATTAAAAAGATTGTAGCTGCAATAAAATAGACTTAGAAAAGAATCACATTTCTTGCTTCAAAAAATAAAATAAGATAATAAAAATACAATTATAAAATATCATATAAATAACAAATAATGAAAAAAGTAGAGTAGAGTAACTATGAATGAAATGTTACCTTTTAATATTGCTGGTACCTTTGGCATAAATATTTCTTTATAAAATAATTCCATCGAGGGTTCAATATATTGTACAATTTCAGTAAATCCAGGCAATATGAAGTCGTATAAATTTTTGACATCAATAATTAATTTGTCTAAATCCAACATTTCTATTGACTTTGCTGAAAAAATATGATATAAAAATATTAAAAATATTTTATTATTTTAATTTTTTTATTTCTAATACTTACTAATGCAACTATTTAATTCTGAAGCAATTCTTGGTAACAAATCAGATATATCTGGAAGTGGTGCTCCTAGTAAAATACCTTTATCAACTTGCTGAATAATATTTTTCAACAAAATTGTATTCTTTGTAAATTCTTTATTATTACTATTATATTGAAATTCCAATAATACTACCTGTAGATATTGAGTAATCAATATTTAGTGTTATATAACAAAAAAAATTGTATTAATATGTAATATAAATTAAATCTGTGATATCACCTTTAAAATAGTACATAATGTGTAACAGTACCGATATTCAATTGGGACAAATTGCCAATGACCAGAATTTAATATCTCCCATGTTTTATCCAAGCAAGCTTCAACTAGTATTAATGAATTCTTTACCCATTTTATTGGTGCAATTCTTTCATAAAATAAAACCATTTGATCATTACTGATATTCAAGCATTTGATTGATATTCGTATTTATAAATAAATAAGTCACCAGAAATATTTAAATATTCATCTTAAAACTGAAGAAAACAATAAATGTATAATATAACACCTAGAGAAATGTATATCAAATATTAGTAATACAAAACTTAATTTTCTTAATTACTACTGCCTTTTTGTTATAATTAATATATGTTTCCCTCAATTATTTGTGATTTATAAAGGTACTTAACTAATTAAATAAAAGTTCATTTATTACTATTGTCTATAAAGATTTTATTACATAACATTATTTATTAGTAAATAACAATTTATTTATAAAATTCATATAATTTTCTTAAAAATATTCTTTTTAATAATGTATTATCAACAGAAACGCATATATTTTTTATAAAGATAAAAATTCACAAAAACTCCATTTAGTAGTTATTGAATTAATATAGAATGTTCTACAATTAGTAGTACAATAGAAGAAATTATTACTCTCTTTAAAAAAAAATAAGTCAATCAAAATCTTATTATATGAAACGTTATTTTTAAAACAAATTTTCTTGTAATATATTTATGTAATTTTACTTCATTCAATAATAGTTAGAAAAAAAAAAGGTATCAAATACTTGTTGAATATGCATCCATTTATATATATATTATAACTCAATATAACAAATTTTACTATCAAAACTATACAAAATAATTGCTTTTAGTGTCATAATATTTCTAAAATCGAAAAAACAAATGTAGAAGAAAAGAAACTAAATTCAAATATAAGAAATTTAATAAAAATATTCATAGAAATATTTAACAAGCAGATATATAACATACATAAGAAAAATAATATTTCAAATAATTTTTAATTTATAAAAATATAAGATATATCTTTTCTTGATTTATCATAAAATGTAATAATAAGTATAGTTAGAATTATAAATTGTAACATTAATCTAAATATTGTTAAGCTCATATATATTAAACAAATATTTTAAGTTCCTTTGTTTACAATCGAAGATTTAGATGAAAAAAACATTATTATATAACTTTGTTTCAATCATTTATGGAGAAATGTCATTTTTTTAAATATGTACTACTTGTTATGTAATATTATATATGTTCAAATGTACTTATATATGAAATATTTTTCTGTAATTATGTTGTTTCCTTTGAGTACTCCTAATTATTCCTTAAGTAAAAATTACATTTATATTCTTTTTAGTATAATATTAAAAATAACAAATAAGTATTTCTTTGTTGTTTTTTATGGATTAAACCAGTTTGTTATTTTTTATGAGTTAAATAAAGATGAAGTATCTAGCACCCAAAAATTTTATATTTAATATTTATTTTTAGAAATTATGTCATGAAATATACTGATATTTATTGATACTTAAATCACTTATAAGAAATAAATATATGTAAACTTATCTGATATGTAGTACAACTTTAATTTATTTTAGTAGTTTCAAAGAGATAATTTTTAAAAAATACATATACATATCTTTTCCCTTTCAATACCATTTTAATACAAATATTTATTATTTTTGGTGACTTATTTCACAAATAAAATACAAAATGCTATAAAATATTAAATAAAATATTACATAAACTATATTATTTAGTTACAGTTATGTATGGTAAAAAACTACAAAATAAAATTTAATAAATTTCTATAATTATTTTATATGGTTATATATAAATCTTTATTTACATTTCATTTTCAACAAAGTTTCTTAAGCTAGTTCCAATTGTTGTCATATATATATTTATTTCAATAGGTAAATAACTTTGTATGTTTTTGGTTAATGAATTCCATGGAATCAACTTTGTAATGATTGCACAGTTACTCATTTTTTAAAAATGATGTAGGTATAACTAGAAAATAAATAAAAAATACGAATTAAAATTATTTTATCTAGAAGTAAAGTGTTTTATTATTCTTATCATTTGGTTCATATAAATATGGCCACTGTACTATTTGATAATCAGCTATATAATACAAAATTTTTCCTGTTAATGATAAATTTTTAACTCTACAGAAGCTTTCAACAAATATTATAGTAGTATGTGTAATATAGAATACTTTAAATAAGAATGCTATTATACACAAAGGAACACATGTGCCTGGACCATTACACAGAAGTAACTCTGGACAATCTCTCCATAAATGCGGAATTGATTCCAAAATTGCATGAATAGTACTATAAATAGATGTATAATATGATTGATGAACTTCTCTGCTTCTATGAATTTTAATTGTCTTATAGTCTATATTATTTTTCTCTAAATTCTTAATTTTCTCTATACTCATTAAATCGGTATCGGCATATACATATATTCTTGGTGAATAATTTTTTAAACTTAAATATTTAAGAATTCTCATCATTTCTGCAGTATGACCACCAGATCCTAATACAATCATTGCTTTAACTGGTTTATCTCGAATTAGTTTTCTTCTTTCTGTTTTATTTGTACAAAACATCAAGAAATATATTCTTGCAATGATTATCAAACAAACCATTATACAAATAGATATACAATATATCATATACATTTTTGCTGTATAACCTGTAATGATTCAAATCAAAATAATTAATTTATTGAATTATATTTAATAAAAAAGAATGTAACTAATAATTATATAAACAACACTATTGTATCATTTATACTATGTATTAGTAATATTATATTAGATATGCTTATTAATATTAGATTAACATTTATATAATATTTAATTATACAAACACCACTCAATATATAATATTATTAATGTGTATAATAAAATAAAAAATATACCTATCTTTTATGTAAAACAAAAATTTTATTTAAATTATTAAACGATTTAAATTTTCACAATTTTCGTACTTCATACATATATTGAAATAAAGTATATAATTAATAATTGATTTTCTATTAATTTTTATATATTTAATAACATAAATATATTTAATAAAGTATAAATACTTATAATTATCATAAATCTTACGCAGATAAATAGTTTATATTAATTTAACAGAAAGCATTCCATCAGGTACATCAACATAAGGTTTAGGTTATAAACATTACTTATAGAAACCATTTTATGGCATTAAACTACGTGTTATAAGACCCATCACCAAATGTAATGTACCTGTCCATTTTCTTTGCTGCCATCTGGCAGTAAAACCATATACAATTGACATTTTCAAATTTATAAATGATATATTCAAGCTTCACCAATTATAAAGTATCATTACTGATAAAAAAAGAAGAAATACGTATTCAATTATTACATAATATAATAAATAATACTTATAATACGAAAAATATTTATTCTAAGAAATGAAAAGAGTTAATAATGTTTGCTACTTCTTTAGAATTCTCTGTTAGTAAAGTAAAGTATTGAATATTAAGGTTAGTATGTTTATACCATCACAACATTTCAATACATATACAGAATTTTTTTATTTATATGTAAACATATTTTTATAAATTAAAAATGAAGTATTTGAACCTTTTAAAATTAAATAAATTAATTTTACATATTCTATATATTGTATGCATAATTGTTGTATTCTTATAGGAACAAGTATTAAAAAATGTGTATTAGTAAACATTTTACATGATTCTTAACTTTTACAACAGTTTTTATAAGAATAATAAAAAAATATAGCTATACGAATCAAATGAAGAATAAGTTATTATTGATTGAACATAAAGCTTTATAAAAAGTAAAGTAAGTTTTCACTTTATTGTAATTATAAAAGCAAATTATTTATGTTTATATCTAGTTTGAAGGAATAAAAGTTATAAATAATATGTTATTTTCAGCTAATATAATAGTACTAATATAACACATTTTTTGTAACAGGAGAAAATATTTTATATAGAGACAAAACGAAACTGTTTACCATAGAAATATGAAAATCATATAACAATTCATAAATATTACCATAACAAATTTGTGATATAAAATAAACTTTTATATTATTTTTGTGAAATTTAGCAAAGAATTTGAAAATTCCTTATATATATATAAATATACAGAATATTAATAAATAAATTCATCTATAAAATAAATTCAAATAAGACCATTATGAAAAGGAAAAGTATATAATTGTCTCTAATATCTATGAAGAAAATTGGGATTATAATATAATACTAACAAATTGTACAAGTAAAGGTCAAAGTGTGTTAATAAATATGGCAAAAAAATATATAAGAGCCAGATGTACATTGAAGAAGGAAAACTCTAAAGAAGTTCAACAGAGTTTAAGTATCCCTTCAAAAAGAAATTTAAGATCAACAAATATAATAAATCAAACTTTAAATAACGATGAGAAAAATGTATCTAGTGCCTTACAAAAAAACTGTGAGGATAACAGAAAATTAAATGAAATTAAAACACCAAATGTAATAAAAAAAAATTGTGAAGCAATGCTGAAAGATGATTTGCAAAGAACAATTCGCTTACATAATAAATCTAAATCTTGTAATTTATGTGGTGATACCTTTTCTCATAATAAAATGTTACAGGAACATCAAAATAAAGTTAACTGTACATTAAATGTGGAATTTCAAAAGACAAGCTTATCTAGGTTAGAAATAAAATCATCAAAACAAAAATGTTTGAGAACAGAAATATGTAAATCACATAAAAGAAAACAATCTAATTCTTCCAATATTAAAAACTTAAATTCTAAATGTGGAATTGACTGCGACTTCTCACTAAAGATGAAAAGAGAAAATAACTGTGAAATTAGTAATTCTATTACAACCAAAGGATCTAACAAAAGTATTTATACAAAATGTAAAAAACAGAAAACAGTAAAATCATGCCACTTGGAAATAAGAAAAAGAAAACAAAAAAATATGTTGTGTGAAAATACAGTACATAAACATAAACAACATATAAAGAAAACAGACAAAAATAAATGCTGTGGAAGTGCAGTAGAAAAAGAAAATACAAATAATTTTTCTAAAATTCCTATATTACAGCAAAATGAAACTGATATTAAAATAAACAAAGCTGTAACAAAAAATGAAAATGATATGGATGTTAAATCATTAGTCATATCTTTAATAAAAATAGAAGATCTTCCTTTATCTGAATTATCTAAGTTAATTCAAACTTCGAACTATGTTGAAAACAACATGCTAAAGAAACAAGAAAATGAAATCATATATTATGAAACAAAAAATATTACAGAAACACAATGTTCTGCATATGAAGAATACAGAACTACTGGAGTTAAACAAAATGAAGAAATAAATGTGTTGTATCATAAATCAGTATTTAAAAGAAAATGTACAAAATTTAAAAAAGAATTAAAGAAAGAAATTAATGCTAACATAACAAATATCAAATTTAGATCAAATACATATAAAATTTCATCAGAGAATAAAGTTTGTAACAAAAATATTTTACAACTTTTTTTAAAAAACAAAAGATGTTTAATGTATAAAAGAACAAGGCAAAGATCAAAAATTCTTAATTCAGAAAAAGTACATGAATGTGAAATAAGAAAAAGTGTTGCAATGTGCAATAAATGTAATGAAGTCTTCAATCTTTTGCAACAATTTTCAAATAATATAAATTTTGTTCAAGGTGAAAAACTTTGTGTTGAATGTACACTGTGTGATTTACCAATTACTTCTTTATCTCATTTTCAAGAACATGTAATGGATGTACATTTACAATGTGAAAGAACATCATCTGGTAGAAGAAAAAAGTTTACTGTTGTTATTATTAATTTCAATGAGGAATTAAATTTAATTAACAAGGATACATTTGAATGCTGTTGTTGCTTAAAAATATTTAATCACATAGCAGATTTTGAGCAACATATTAACAAAGTACATAACAGATTTAATTATTGTACAGATAATGTTAAACAGCAGGAAATAAAACAAATAGTTAATACTTCTGAGTTATGTATATTTAAGAGTGAACAAATACTTAATAGAAATAATACTTTAAACAAAAATTATATTTTTGATATTACTGCCAGTCTGGCTGAAATTTCTAATTTAGGGAAGGAAACTGGAGCACAAAATAATAATCATGTAGACAAATACTGTATTAACACAAAAGAAATGAATTTAAAAAATAATATGCATTATAATAATTCAAATAATGAAAATTTACTATTAAAGGTGGAAGTAAAAGAAAAGCAGATAAAGAACACAGAACATTCAAATATTACTGAAATAATGAAAACAGTTCCAAATACGGAAGAAAATATAGAAAAATTAAAAATTAATGAAGAATATTCAAATAGTATTACAATTATTTCAGGATCAGATCTTCCCACTACTTCTAATGCTAACATTGATCAAAGATTTAAAAAATGTAACAAAATCAAAGAAAGCTTCTGTTTTGTTTGTAATTTTTGCTTTAAAAAATATCAAAGAAAACATATGTTCTTAATTCATATGTCTAAGCATATGACAGATTCTCTTGTTAATACAAATAAAGAACAAAAGCCACAAAAAGATAATAATATGATCAAACTGAAAAATGATTTAATTGTGGTAAATACATCTACTAAAAATACCCAAGACTATACTAAAGATTTTAAAGATAATAATATATTAAATTCTAGTATAGATTTAGAAGAACCAAAGAAAAATACTTTAATATCAGAAATAATTGATAAAGAAGTTGATAGTGTTAAAAATGGAAATATCGAATATATGACCAAAGAAGACAGTGTTACAAGTGAAACAGATGATGGTTACAATTTCATATTACATGTAAATCTTATACAAAATACAAAAAAAGGTATAAAAAGACAAAAGTCAATCAAATTCAATATGAATGTTACAAAAAGATATAAAAGAAGTTCTAATGAACAGCAGAACACTCAAAATGAAATGAAAAATATGTTTCCAATAAATCTTGTTGCAAATATTACTTTTATAAATGATTCAAGTAAAGAAAATATATCTTGTGGTTTAAAAAAATTACATTGTAATATATGTCATAAAAAATTTAGCACCTTAACAATATTAAAAGAACACATGTTTTTTTTACATGATTCTACGATCGAGATTGAAGGACCAGAATTGTCAGATTTACCAACAATACCATATTTTAATAGTTACCATAAAACAAAAAATCTGTCGACGACAAATACCCCTATATCTAAAAAGAATCATAATGCATCATTTAAAACAAAAATATCAAAGCAAGTTTTTCAAAATGAGAATAAAGTACATGGGGAAACAATATGTCAAATTTTTAATGAACATAATATAAATAAAATGAATAAAAAATGGCGTTGCAATCCATGTAAAGAAAATTTTGCATTACTTCGAAATTATTTACGCCACAAATATTACTGTCATAATGATGAATCTGTAGTTCACATTTGTGACAATTGTAATAAAATTCTTACTTCAGTTGCAATGGTGAACATTCATATGTGTACTAATGTTACTTCATGGACTTGTAACAGATGTAATATCAATTTTTCCAATGGCAAATCTTTAACCCAACATAATATGAATTATCATATGGAAAGTGTAGGTCCACATATATGTAAAGTATGTAAATTGAGCTTTCTTACAACATATATGTTAACAAAACATGAAGCAACACACTCAATAAGTGAAGACTGTAATAATGTAGACAATTTTATAAATTTATCTACAAAAAACCATTTACCTTATGCTGAACATAATACAAATGTTAATAATGAAATTAGTAAAGAAAGAGCTCAATTAATGAATGACAGTACTATTACATGTAGAAATGAAGATGTAAAAATTTTAAAGCAATTGGATGAATTGAGTGGCAAACTTTCAGAAATGTGTATTACATCTAACATACAACATAATAATGAAAAAATATTTAAATGTTTACATTGCAATTTGTTATGTGCTACAAAATTACAATTGAAACTTCATTTAGAAAAATGGCATAAAGAGGAAATGTGTCAAATTTGTAATAACTTATATCCTACAGATAAATTAACGAAACATTTAGTGTGCCATCATATAGTTTCAGATAATTTATGTTTTGAAGAAGATAATATTAATATTCAAGTAACATACGAAAATATAACTTTTCAGAATATAATAAAAATTCTTGGACTGAAACGATTATTATCTCTTTATGAATATCAAAAATTTAATAATAATAATATAGACAACAAATATTTTGATTGTATGATATGCTCAAAACAATTTTCTAGTATTCAGTGTTATAAAATTCATTATTTAAAATATCACGATACAATATGTTTATTGTGTAATATAAAATTTAAATATAATTTTCAAGCATTTGAGCATAAAATTAAAATTCATAAATCTGTTGATTTATATTTATGGATAGTGCAAAAACTAATGTTTGCTGTTTTAGAGTTAAATGAATATAGAAATAACATTGAAGAAGCAATACAAAAACATAGTGAAAACGAAATACATTGATGAAGTATAATTTATACTTCATATTACTTACACAAAATTATAAACACATCATTTTCATATGATTATGAATTTAGGCAGAGTATTATATGCTAATTATAACTAAATGTAACTTTTAATGTACTGTATAAGTTTTCATAAATTTTTTATATAAGATACAGATATTAATGTATATTTTGTTTTATTTTTTTATTTGAATTTATATAGAATATTTTTAAGTACTATAGAATGTGATAATTAAGATTTTTCCTAAAATTTAATGTATCCTAAAATTGAGAACAAACTGAATTAAGTTACAATAAATATGTTACAAAAACTCTCCAAAGACATACTGATAAAATATGTATGAAAAAAAAGTATTGAGAAACCTTATGATACAAAACTGAATTAAAGATTGTATTTTTTTACTGTTATTTTATAATTTCGGAATGTACATCTTTGAATGTCTCTTTATTGTTTGTAACGAGAATAACAATATACGTCACTCCTATTTTAAATAATTTGTGTTTAAATTCAACTTATTTTTGATTATCAAAATTTATAAAAATAAATAGGAATTAAAATCATTCATTTTTTGAATATACAAACAAATTATTAATTACAATCTTTTATTGTAGAAAAAAATAATATTTTACATAAAATTAATAAATTTTTGAAAAACTACATTCAATTATAACAATAATTTTTCTACAGAAAATTATAATAAATGTATAATGTAAAATTATAATATCTTGATTGACTAAACTTTAAGTTAATGTTTACCTTTATATTATAATTAAATCCATCAAATGTACATAACATTTATAACTATTAATATCACATTTATTTAAATATTATTTCATAAAATAACATACATTTTACAAAATTCAATAAATTCATTAGTATCTTTTGCAAAACTATTAAATACTTCCAATTTATTTATTTTAAAAACAACTATTAAAATTAATAATGTATAATATTAAGAAATATAATACAGCAGTTAGTTTTCTGACATCTTACATTTTACTAATAAGATCATAATTTATTTAATGAATATTTGAAGTTTAATTTTTAAATTTGTTGAATTAATTTAAAAATATTGTGCATATATTATTAAATATTTTATAAATTTATAATAAATTTTTCCATCATTCTATATAAAAAGAAAATAATGCATGATGTCAAAAAATTAATAAGTCATAAAATATTTTTAAAAATATGTTGTAAAACTGTTTAAATACTATTCCTTTATATTCTATCTTTTTTTTACTCCCTATTTCCATTATTTTCATGATCTTGATATTATTTCCATGATAATTAAAAAGAGATTGGAAAATGTTATATAAGCTTTGATTTTCTGCTTTTATTTGTTTTCCACTTTGTTTCCTGTTTTGTTAATCGTATTATTATTTTTTACGAGTATGTTTGTATTAATTTTTATAAATAGTGTAAATTTTTATTGAAGTAAATTGTTGTAATATTAAAACATTAAACATAAAAAATTATCAAATTTTTAAATTGCGTAAAAATTAAATATTTTTTAATTATATGTATAAATAAAAGTTCTATATTAAGAGTACTCTATAATATGGATTGAAATTTAAATACTTTATACAAATTTTTTCAATATTCATGAAATTTGATATTTTTTATCACTTTAATTTAATAGATGAGAGATAATTAAGTTATAAAAGACTAATATTTTCCTGGTAATATAAAAACTCTTTTCCCTTATAGGAATAAAACATAAAACAAGCTTCTATTATAATCTACACTATATATATTCTTAACAGTAAAAAATATAGAAGATTTAAAAATTATAATATCTAAATCAATGAAGTTTGAAAAAAAGAAAAAAAAATTTATGAAAAATGGAAAAAGTTATAAACAAAAAAAATTTATATATGTATATATGTGTATAAACATCCACAAAAGTTTTCAAATCTATCACATTGTTAACTTAATCATAAGTATTTTTACACTGTTAAATTTAAAAATATGATTTCAAAACTATCAAATATGCATGTATAATTATTCTAAACGTGCATAAATTCCTTAATTTTTAAATTTTGCAAAAGCTTTTATTTTATATATTGAAAGTTATTAATTAATAAATAAACTTTAATATCTCGATTAAAATGATCAAACGATTCTTTGAAGGTAACCAAATCAATTTTATAGATAGTATTCAAATATGAGAATAATGCTAATATATTTATGTATATAATTGATTGATTGAAATCAATGAAATATAATTAATTGATTAATATTCATACTTAGTAAATATTATGATGTAAGCTATTAAGATGCTTCTTTTTGTCCTAAATTTAAGAAGTTTTCGTTTCAAGTTTTAAGGAAAATATATAAGATTATAATAACTTATCGTATGTATTAATTAATCGTGTCTTATCAATTAATTGTATCTCACATAGATTGACCATAATCATATTAGCTGGATATTTATTTGTATATTATTTAGTTAATTAATATCTCACTTTGCTTAAAAATATGAAATACTTCAAGAATTCGTGTCATTTTAAAGCCAATATCAAAATTCGCGCTAAGTATACTACAGCGCTTACTTTGTCACTTCTACTGTCTTGTGTTTGTACAATTGACTTTCAAATCAGTTCAGTTTCTATTTCAGTTACTATTCCACGTCGATGTGATTTTTAAGAGTTTGGGCGTTTTGAAATAATGTGGATACAAATATTAAAATAAAAACAGTGACAATCCTTGGTTACTTTATTAAAACGTTTATATAATTTATATTTCAGTGATATAATATTAAATAGATAAAATAAGATGACATAGATAACTAAACTATCACAAATCACCTCTTTCGTATTTTATTAGTAAAATCTCTTTAATTCATTCCAATTATACAGTTTTTAGTGAATTAAACGTTATCAGTCATTATCTTATTAAATGTTATTATAGAAGGTAAATACAACGACTATCAGACATAGTATAATATTTGTTGTTTATAAAACATATGCATAACGTAATTAAATATATATGTATATATTTATCTACATTAACATGTTTAAATAACATAAATAATTGATATTTTTATTATAATTCACTGACATATTTTAATTTGTTTCTTTCTTTTAAACATATATTTTCTATTAATTTTTATATTATGTAAAATATTACAATATATTTTAGTTTATTCTTTAATAATTATTTGTTGCTAATGAATATACATATGCACTATATTTTGAATATATTTTTCTTACAGTTATACATTTTTGAAGAACACTAATATTTATAAACAAGTGATTATGAATATTTATCGGGAGAATTACTGTTATTATAAAATAAAATATATACTATGATATAATAAAAAAAAAAAATAAGAAAGTATACAAAAGAAAAGGGTGATGATCAAGTATGACAGGTTCCTCAGAGATGGAGACAAACAAACAAACTGAGGAATCTAATAATATTTCAAATAATGTTGGAAAATCTGAAAGTTCAGATTCAATAGAGGTTATTATAAAGCAATATAAATTTTCATTTAAAAAAGATAAAAGTATATAAGATTTTACTTAAAAATAAAACTATAAATTTATTATATGTCCTATTTAGGTGGATAATTCACGTACAGTTCTATTAAAAATAGCAACATTATATGCAGAACGTCTTATGAATGATATTTGTCTTGTTGTTAATGGTATAGAATATCCAGCACATCGCCTTATACTTTGTGCTTCTAGTGATGTTTTCCAAGTAAGCAAATATATTTTTAAGTTAATATATTAACTTTTTAAGATAATACAATTACGTTAATAAGATTAAATGAAAAACACAATTATTTATTCTTATACAGGATGTCACTAAACTGGTGGTATAGTTTAAAAAGACATGGTTTTGTCTAAAAAAATAAACTAACATGGAGTAACAATTTTTGACATTAAATGTTTATTCTTAAGTAAATCGATATTGATAATTCATTGACTACATTTATTGAAATATAATACATTGGGTATAATTATATTGTCAGACAAATAGAAGTCATTTTCAACAACTTCTATATTAATAAAAAGTAATTTTTAAGTGAAAGACACCTCTGTTTGATTATTTATTCTTCATTATCCATTTATATGATAAACAAGGAAACACAAGTAATTTGTAATGCTATTTATCTAATTGAGATATAAATATAAGTGAAACTTTGGTATGATAAAATATTATTATATATTTTTAACTTTATTCTTCATATAAAAGTTACTTCCTTCTTGGTCATAACACTAATTTAGTGACACCCTTTATATATGTAGTACATTTAATATTTATTTATAATATGTAATATTTAATTTTAAATTTTATTAGTAAAATAAGTATTAGTAGAATTTAATTTATTTACAAAAAATGTATGTTGTGCCAAATAATGATAGATTGACCTAATTTTCATTTCATGACAAATGATTAACATCAAACTTTGTTTATATGAAAAGAGGTTCCAAAATGTAACTGGATCAAGATAAAATTGAATTTTGCAGTGTATTAGTAAATTCTTTTATCTGAAATTATATGTACCTAGGTGATACTAGAAATGATATTTATATTTATGGTTAAAAAATTAAACATTTGAAAGAAGAGAAACATTTTTATTATTAAATATTCAATTATTTTTACTATAAAAAGTGAAATTTGTATAATTTTTATTTTAACGTAATGTAAAAATTTTGAATTAAGTAGTGAGATTATTCTAATCAAAACATGATCAAATTGAGTACAGATGTTATTATTGATGGTTAAATAAAAATGTACTTTATTGTTATTATATAAAATTAGTAATTTAAAACTATTAAGAATGAATTAGCAAAGTTGCATTATGAAAAGTACATCAAGTTGCCTTTTAAGAGATAATACTGTATTAATCAGATAAATCAATTTTAACAATTAAGTTTTTGAAAAATATTAAATATTTTTTAGTTTCATGTTTTATTTTTCATGTTTTATGGTTCTTCTTTATTATTGTATAGACCAAAAAGTAATGTATTAAGGAATGGATAAAAGAAAATTTAATATGAACCAATTATGATATATAAAATACTTTTAACTAATAATTAATTTTTTATTATTTTCCATTATGTAAATATAAAATTAAGTTTTTCATGCAGTTGATATAAAATATATTTTATATGCATTAATATTATAAGTATGAACATTATATAAGTTCATTATATTAAACATACAAAATTTAATGTTAAAATATTTAGAAAAGTGAAATTTATATTTTCATAACTGCTTTTATATTATATATTTCTCAATATCTTCATATAACTAACCAATTTCAATTTTATCATATGTTTTGTTTTTATGATATGTTTAGATAAAGGTATAATTTATTATATTTTCTAAATATATAAATTACTATTAAATAACTTTAATGATTTTACACAGAAAAATAAATGAAAAGAAAAGAATTTTCCAAGTTTATAATTATATTTTATATATGTTACAAAATTATGACAATTACACGTATTTTTTCTCAAATAAATTTTTTTTTTAATGAGTTTTCTATATAATTTATAAGATGATTATAAAGTAAAGTAAATACCTAATTGTAGGTAACTACACATAGTGTTTTAGCTAAGATGTTCCAAAGTTCTTTCTTCAAGAGTTTCTCAGAAGATAATAAGACAATAGTTTTTGTGTTTATTATGTATTATGCTTTTTAGTATTATTGACATTATTTTATTTCACTATTGATTACTCCTTTTTCCAAGAAGGAGGGGAAGAAAATTTTCTTCATTTTTTAGTTATCTTAGAGTCTGCATTAAAAATTCTGAACTTATGAGTAACATATATATATAAGTATTTTAAGCACATACAAATGTTTCTATAAAAAAATTAAAAAAATATTTGTTATAATTTTAATCAACTTAAAGGAAAAAGTTTGTCATACCTTCATTAGAACATTTTGCAACATAAAATAAAATTTAGTTGTTTAAATTTACTAAGCGATAAATTTTGTTGAGCCGCTCGACTTTTTTTACTATATTATTCTCTTCTTGTTTCACATAGAAAAATTTTTGTTTGGATGTTATATGCAGAAATTTGTATAAATAATGTAAAATCTATTTGCAGGAAAGTGGTATAAAAGATATTTTAATGTAACAAATGTCCTCCACTTGTTTTATACAAAGTAAATCACTCTTTACAAATGTGTACATTAAGTATTTAAAAAATTGACCTATATTTCTCTCTATGTCTCTTATCTCGCTATATTTTTCACTTTTTGTTTTTGGAACAAGATCAAAGTGAGAAATAAATAAATGAGATAAAGTTATATACTATAAATGCTTGAATAACTAATTATAAAGCAAGGATGAAACTTTTTAAAGGTACTTCTAAGCAATGTTTGATTGTTGATCTATTGTGAAACAAAATATCCTCAATTGTAGTTAGAACAATTAGAGAAATCAAAAAAGGAGTTCTAATCAAAGATACTAGGAGAGATCCATTTTATCTTTATATATCAATGGTTCAGTTAATAGATTTGTAATCATCGATATATGTTCTAAATAATAATTAATTTTAACAGATTAGTTTCAGCAATGATAGGGAAATGAATAGTTAAAGAGAAATTTTCAAAATATCTCTGAAAATAAATGGGGTATTAAAAAACTATATACAAACTTTTATGGTTATAAAGCACATTTTGTATCAGATGAAATATTTTAATATAGAACAAATATTGAAATTCAAAGTTATTTTCATTTTATTAAATTAAATGCTATATTTTTTATGTCATAGTTATGTGGAAATACAAAGATAAGTACAACGATATGCAATTAAGTTATTTTCAAATAATTTTGATAAATATCATTTATATGAAAATGTAAGAATTATAACTGTTACTGTTATTACTTGTTAAGTGTTTAGTACTTTTTCTCCAAAAAGCTATTAGTTTGAAAATAATACTGATTTCATTATTATAAAATGATAGTAGTAATACAATATTATTAAGTACACTTTGAATCGATAGAGTAAAAGTTTAGCAAAAAAAAGCTATTTTTAATTTTTAAAAATTGACATTAATTTTCGTTTAATTCTTACTCGATGTGAAAAGAGAGTTAAGAAAAATAACATACAGTATTGTTTGTGTTACTTTAAATTATATTAAGGCACTTATCTGGAAAAATAAATATTACAGTAACTCGGGTGAATAAAGAAGAGAAATAACGATTGTCAGAGATACCGATATCCAATAGAAGTATGCATATACGAAGCATGTACGTATATATCAATGACAAATTAATATTGACTGCATTCGTGAATCTAGTTTTAACAATTAGTGAGGATTGTAATGGAAATACCAATGTACAGAAATTTAAACATTTACTCTGGCAATATTATATTACAAATGTGCTATTTTTATGCAAAATTCATTTGACATATAAGCAAATATTTCGTTTTATACTATCGTTTCTTTTTATAGATGTTAATGCTCATAATTACTATACACAGTATATACATAACTCATATACTTCTTACTACCAAGAATGCAACGCCATCTATAGAAACAAAATCGAATCAAACCAGTTTAAATTCGAGATTAATTTAAATTATATCGGTAGATCTTTAAAAAAGGAAGTGACACGTGGAACTAAGTACTCAATTTTATTTGCAAGTATGGCTTAAGCAATATTATTAAAACTTGTATGTTGGAATTAAATGTTTCACTAAATGATTATTTTACGATCTTTGCATTTATGTTTCGAAATGTTATTAAAATATTTGGAGGACTATCAAAGCAAAAGTTTATTATTAAATAAAGTTTATTTTATTTAATTATATTTTATTAATTTAATTATTTCGTTTTGTTAACAGTTTTATAAATCACGTTACATATTGTATTTACCTCATACTTATGATAAAAAAACATAGAAATTGTTTAGAACTGTAACAAATATTTAATGCACTAATTAAATTCATATATCAGTAGTCTTTTTATTCTAAGTACATTGTGCAAATCTAAGTAAAAAGTGAATCTTATACTCTTTTTTTAAATTTAACCCTTTATATTTATTAAATTAAATAACTAATTTAAATTAAATATAAATATTTTAATTGACTGATTAAGTTAACTAAAAATTGCTTAGAAGAAATCAGTTTATTCGCAAATAAAACTTGAAGAAACTCACTTAAAATAATAAAATTGGAAATAAAACTGAAAAGGCGCAGTTTCTCTTTTTACATTTGACTATTACAATGTCTTTTACATGAAAATTATTAATAGTAATGTATTTTATAAAAACAATTTAATTTCAATGGATATAATTTTATTTACTCATTCTCTTGTTCTCATTTATTTAAATATATAGAAATTAAATAAATATTATTAATTTTCAAAATTAGCAATAATTTTATCGCAGTATTGTTAAATAAAATTTGTTTATAATAATTATTAGCTTCTAATTTTTAAATAAGGAACTGTAATTAGTTACGATGTTCCTTTTCTCATATAAGTAATACAATGAATTAAAAGTTATACACAATTAACATATTATTATTGATTCAAAGGTGTAGTAATACATGCAAAATAATTAAGTATTAATACTTTAAATAATACTTTAAATTTAAGTCAACCTATTCGGCCATTTTTGAAACTGTTAACAATATTAATAAATATTTCATTGTCAGACAAAAGTTGAATAATTCTGAGAAGCATATAATCTGATATAAGTAAATTTTTCTTAAGTAAATGAATAAGGACA